AATAACGTGACAGAATAATTTACGTCTAATTTATATATCTAACACGAAATCGTTACCATGACAGAGAAATAGAGTATTCACGATATATGCTCTAGTTCTAATATAAGTGTCATTACCCTCCCTGTCATTCAGGTGTGTGGGCTGTAGTCTGTTCTGAATTTTCAGTTCGTGTAGCACGTAGTATACCTGTATGACCGATTACGTATTGGCGGACTCTTGACGTGGGTGTTGCAACTATCAGCCACAGAATGAACCTAGGGGGATTGTATATTTAGAAAACATCCAGCGAATTATGGGGGATTACGATTTATTTATGACGCGGGAATTGAAGCAAAATATCCAGTAAAGTTATTCTGAATGTCACACATTATCATTTCAAAAGACAGACAGACAGATTCTTATTAAGTATCTGAAGGCCACAGACACATAATTTGTACACTGTAATAGCTGTCAAAAGGAACTTGCATGCTTTGTATAGAAGCAACTTTTACAAAAAGGACTCACTTTTAAAAACAGTTTTAACATTATTATTGGCGATAAGCACAACTTTTAGGAGGATAAATGATTGTTTCAAATTGTTGCACCTGACGCCACAAAAAACCCAAACCCGTGTAAGGGACAAAACATTAGTATCTTTACAATACATTTTCTTAATCAAATTATCTAGTGTATGTTGTTTTGACACGTCTGGTAGGAAACATCTATGTCACACAGCTTTATACAGCTTACATCATAATAGTTCATAGAGCTCGTCATCCACACAGGGCATATGATAGTTTCAGGGTTACTGGAATACTTAAAGTACAGCTCATTACCGTAGCGACGTTACATTCATATATAACAGTGAATACAAATCCAGTCATACAATGTCTATTTTTTCCTATTTCGTCAGCCAGTGTTAAGATTTTACATCTAAACCGAGACATATACGGGAGGTTTAGCTTAACTTTAGAAACCTTTAACAAAATATAACTGAACATTTTCAATTTTTTCCATATATCAGACCCATAACAAAGTATAGGTGTATAGATATGTTTTAACATATACTCATGCCAATAATGGTTGTCGGCCCCTTCAATTATTTTAATTGGAGAGGGGGTGTGGGGTAGGGATGTGAGGTGTGTGTGGTGTTGGGGTGGGGAGGGGGGTGACAACCATTATTGGCATGAGTATATCGGACATGAGATGATTCGAAATGTCCTTTGATAGTTGTTCGTGAGCCTGTGCTATATTGGTCAAAGAAAGTGTAGGTGTAAATAAAACACACAAATACCTATAAAATGTAACAACATCTCTTCTTCCTCCTTGAAGATATACTTTTCATAACGATGCTGTTGTTTTACTCAAGTACATATTAGGTGTCTGACTCTGAGGTTGTTGGTTCGAATCCCGGATGGGACTCAACCCAACAAAAGTACTAGAATCTGTACTTTACTGAGAAAGTGTAATCCCAAATATAACATTTGTTAAATTTGACCACTCTCCAACTGTATCCCATCCACAATGACAACCAGCTTATTTCCTTCTAGGACGAACACTATTGTAGGTGTGATATGAACACACTGATTCTTCGAAATCAGTTATATCACGAACGAATGATTCATATATTCCTATACACCCCACACTGCACAGAATTATTTGAAATCGGCCTAAGTTAAACTGACGTGTTTATGTAGCTAGTCTACATTACAATTTAAAATGTTACATTCATACAGGCTTCAACCAGATTTGCACAATTTTTTCCACAGGTTTCAGGATCCAAGAAAGATAACATGAAGAGTGAGTAATAGTCATTAAAAACTTTTAAAAACATATTATATTGACCAAAATATATGTATCGGACACAGTTCTTGACCTTCTACAATATACATAATCATCACGCAACAGAACAAAGGGAAAGGGGAGAGTGAGTGAGTTTAGTTTTACGCCGCCCTCAGCAATATTCCAGCTATATGGTGGGGGTCTGTAAATAATCGAGTCTGGACCAGACAATCCAGTGATCAGCAGCGTGAGCATCGATCTGCGCAGTTTGGAACCGATGACATGTGTCAACCAAGTCAGCGAGCCTGACCACCCGACCCCGTTCGTCGCCGCTTACGACAAGCATGGGTTACTGAAGATCAATATACTACCCGGGCCTTCACGGATAAGGAAAGGGATGGGGGTGGGGGTGGGGGGTTAGAGACAAAGAAAACATCACAGTTTAACATACTGGATCAAGTAGACAATGTTCTTTAGTTAATAGCAATTGAAATCCGCCAGGTTAGCAGAATTTTGGAACAGAAGTGGGTCTATTCCGATAAAAACAAAATCAAACAAAATGTATACCTGAAGTAACTGTCATTTTGTTAAAAAATACATATAAACAAATATATTTATCAACAAAGTTATTCAAGAAGAAGTCAAATTGTTGCCTGCGTCTACCAATCATATTGCGACAGAACTCATTCTGAAGTAGAGACGGGCGGCAGTTATGCACAGCGTGGCACGGAACCTGCTGTGAGTGTGTCATATTGATGACACATCTTGTTAACGCTCATACCTGTCATTGAGGTGTATTTAACACTGCAGGGCTGAACGTCTTCTTAGTACATAAAGGACATCTGTAGTTACATCTGTTTTCCTTCATTTGTATATCATATCATGAAACAGAAACAGTTATCAAAAGTGCATACTCATACTTCAAAGATATCTTTAATAAACCGGTAATGTTTCATCAGTGGTAATATATCTCAGTTGTGTTTTGGAACTTAGGGCCGTAAAAGATCCGGGTTAGATTTGGTCTTCAGCAACCCATGTTTGTCGTAAGGGGCGACTAACGGGATCGGGTGGTCAGGTTCGCTGACTTGGTTGACACGTCATCGTATCCCAATTGCGTATATCGATGTTCATGCTGTTGATCACTGGGTTGCTTGGTCCAGACTCGATTATTTACAGACCGCTGTAATATAGCTGGAATATTCCCGAATGTGCCGTTAAATAAAAAACAATCAAACGACCAATGAACTTCAGGTTGCATTAGTTTTATTACAATCCAATTTTCGGGTGTATGCTTTATTATACTCCGCAGTTTATACCATAGTCATTTCTTGGTATCATTTCTATTAACAGTTCTTAACGGGAAAGGAATATAATGCTAATTCAAGTATGACCTGGTTCTTAAGACAAACCAAATATAATGTGTTCCTTAAACTGCAATGGCACAAATAGATTTGTTTTTCCCCGAACCATTCTTATCATCGCATTACTGACTGACTGACCAAATGGTTTATCAAATATGGATTAGTGTGCCACGTTTGGCCCGAGGGTATCATCTGCGTGCCTAGCAGGCCAGGGTTCCTTGGGCGTAACGACAGAGTCGGTAAAGAGGTTTTTCCATGCTGAATAACAAGACGAATAGAACAGAACAAGATGCAAGGTTCAACAGGCAGTGTCTTGATGTGGTCAGTAGCAGACAGACCCCACCGCAGGCGGTAACAACGACAGCATTGGTCACACAGATATTTCACCATTTCTTGTGTTCCTCGCCGTTCCATTGCAGGAACAGTGCGCCGCTAAAGACGGCGTAAAATCAAACTCAATCGCTCAATTGACGTCTGAACACAGATGCAATGTAAAGAAAGTTATGGTTAATCGAATATTCGTAACAAAAGTTAAGATGAAGTTAATGGATCAAGTACTTACCAGACAATCGTGAAACGTGCAGGGGTACAATACAGAGATCTTAGTGCTTAGATTATGGTAATTCCCGTCTTGATTAATTGATTTACGATAGCCGGAGCGCAAGAAACGAGGCCAAGAAGTAAAAATATAACATACATACAAAGGAATTGTCACATGAAGGAAAGCAGAGTGCAGATAAGGCATCACTAGGTCTTGTGAATAAATACACCTCTTCTATCCAAGATGTAAATGTTCAAGGCATTTAATATACAAAGTTACATCATTCCTTACAACAGCTGACAGATATGAGGTTTTGTATTTACAATACTGTGGCATTGGAAATCGATATAAACATTAACATTCGATTTTTAAAATACATTTCTGCAAATAGTTAATCAATTTAATAATGCCTAAAATAAATTCTTTGATATCCATGGCAATATATACCCATGGTAATAATTACTGTCACCGCTGTGCTTGCACGCATATATATGTAGGGCGACATCAATTATGAGCGAGTGTATAGGTAAGGCTGAGATTACTTTGGAGGTGGACTTTACGTTTCCTAATTCAATTTTTAAGTTGTATCACACAAACCGGGAAACGATGCATGTCACAGGGTTACCTCTTGGTGAAATACGGGAGCAAGTTTTGGTGCTGACAAACATTTGAACCCGATATCCAAGGTTTCTGGCAGACCCATCACAGCGAATTGCGGCGTATGTGACTGTAACTGCAGGAGCTTGTTTGTACGAACCAAATAGTTGAACAACTGTTACAGTTTCCTGTTGCAGAATTTCTGCTGTCACAAACGGTGAAAATATCCAGTTGGTGAATGTGTTCTAATTTGTCTCTTACTGCTGTCTGTTGCTGTTACTGGGACTTTATGCTTGTTGCATCGCAATGAACGGTGTAAGATACAGGTGACCAAGGTCTGAGTTTTCTTATCTCCTCAATGAATACTTTAAATGTAGAATGGAAAATGAGGACAGTTTTATGGATATACAACTTCTTTATTCTTTACAGGTGACGTTTCGACATAGATTATAATGCCGTTGTCAAGCACGTAACATTAGAATTTGTGCCGAAACATCGCCTATAAAGAATAAAGAAGTAACATATCCATAAAATTGTACTCATTTCTACATCTCCTCAAAATCTAGATTGCCAATCAAAGAAGTCATATTTTAATTGTAATACAAAATGAACACCTATGACAGGATACAGTGGAGGATCAGGGGAGGGGGTTGTGAGAGGGCATGGTACAGGTTAAGACTGACCACTGTAGAGAGTATAGAGGGCAGTGGTGAGGGGGTTGTGAGGGGGCATGGTACAGGTTAAGACTGACCACTGTAGAGATTATAGAGGGCAGTGGTGAGGGGGTTGTGAGGGGCTGGGGGCTGGTACGGGTTAAGACTGACCACTGTTGAGAGTATAGAAGGCAGTGGTGAGAGTACTGTGACGGGGGCCTGGTGCGGGTTAAGACTGACCACTGTTGAGAGTATAGAGGGCAGTGGTGAGAAGGTTGTGAGAGGGGCCTGATGCGGGTTAAGACTGACCACTGTAGAGAGTATAGAGGGCAGTGGTGAGGGTGTTGTGAGAGGGGCCTGGTGCGGGTTAAGACTGACCACTGTAGAGAGTATAGAGGGTAGTGGTGAGAGGGCTGTGACGGGGGCCTGGTGCGGGTTAAGACTGACCACTGTAGAGGATATAGTGGGCAGTGACCACTGTAGAGTATAGAGGGCAGTGGTGAGGGGGCTGTGACGGGGGCCTGGTGCAGGTTAAGACTGACCACTGTAGAGGATATAGAGGGCAGTGGTGAGGGGTTGTGAGGGGGGCCTGGTGCGGGTTAAGACTGACCACTGTAGAGAGTATAGAGGGCAGTGGTGAGGGGGCTGTGACGGGGCCTGGTGCGGGTTAAGACTGACCACTGTAGAGGATATAGTGGGCAGTGACCACTGTAGAGAGTATAGAGAGGGCAGTGGTGAGGGGGCTGTGACGGGGGCCTGGTGCAGGTTAAGACTGACCACTGTTGAGAGTATAGAGGGCAGTGGTGAGAGGAGGTTGTGAGGGGGCCTGATGCGGGTTAAGACTGACCACTGTAGAGAGTATAGAGGGCAGTGGTGAGGGTGTTGTGAGAGGGGCCTGGTGCGGGTTAAGACTGACCACTGTAGAGAGTATAGAGGGCAGTGGTGAGGGGGCTGTGACGGGGGCCTGGTGCGGGTTAAGACTGACCACTGTAGAGAATATAGTGGGCAGTGACCACTGTAGAGAGTATAGAGGGCAGTGGTGAGGGGGCTGTGACAGGGGCCTGGTGCGGGTTAAGACTGACCACTGTAGAGGGATATAGTGGGCAGTGACCACTGTAGAGAGATAGAGGGCAGTGGTGAGGGGGTTGTGAGGGGGCCTGGTGCAGGTTAAGACAACCACTGTAGAGGATATAGAGGCAGTGGTGAGGGGTTGTGAGGGGCCTGGTGCAGGTTAAGATTGACCACTGTAGAGAGTATAGAGGGCAGTGGTGAGGGGTTGTGAGGGGGGCCTGGTGCGGGTTAAGACTGACCACTGTAGAGAGTATAGAGGGCAGTGGTGAGGGGTTGTGAGGGGGGCCTGGTGCGGGTTAAGATTGACCACTGTAGAGAGTATAGAGGAACAGTGGTGAGGGGTTGTGAGGGGCCTGGTGCAGGTTAAGACTGCCTGTAGAGGGCAGTGGTGAGGTTGTGAGAGGGGCACTGGATTGCGGGTTAAAGATTGACCACTGTAGAAGTATAGAGGGCAGTGGTGAGGGGGCTGACGAGGGGCCTGAAAGACGACCACTGTAGAGAGATATAGTGGGCAGTGACAAGAGGAACAGTGGTGAGGGGTTGTGAGGGGCCTGGTGCAGGTTAAGACTGACCACTGTAGAAGTATAGAGGGCAGTGGTGAGGGTTAATGAGAGGGGCCTGGTACGGGTTAAGAGAAGTATAGAGGAGCAGTGGTGAGGGATTGTGAGAGGGGCCTGGTGCGGGTTAAGATTGACCACTGTAGAAAGTATAGAGGGCAGTGGTGAGGGATTGTGAGAGGGGCCTGGTGCGGGTTAAGACCACTGACCACTGTAGAGAACAGAGGTATAGAGAGGGCAGGGTGAGGGACTGTCCCTGAGAGGAAGCCAGTGTGAGGGGTTAAGGGGGCCTAAGACGGGTTAAGACCGAAGTACTGTAGAGAGTATAGAGGGCAGTGGTGAGGGGTTGTGAGGGGGCCTGGGTGCGGGTTAAAGATTGACCACAGTAGAGTATAGAGGGCAGTGGTGAGGAGGTTAATGAGGGGCCTGGTGCAGGTTAACCGCCGCAAGAAGAGGTATAGAGGCAGTGGTGAGGGATTGTGAAGGGGCCTGGTGCGGGTTAAAGATTGACCACGCAAAGTATAAAGGGCAGTGGTGAGGGCTGTGACAGGGGCCTGGTGCGGGTTAGAGTCGATACAGGATATAGTGGGCAGTGACCACTGTAGAAGATAGAACGGTGGTGAGGGTTGTGAGGGCCTGGATTACAGGTCCGAGACGAACCACTGTAGAAATATAGAGACGCAGTGGTGAGGTTAAATGAGGGGCCTGGTACGGGTTCAAGTTGACCATAGAAATTATAGAGGGCAGTGGTGAGGGATTGAGGAAGGGCCCTGGTGCGGGTTAAGACTGAACCACCAGTATCAAGGTATAGAGGGGCAGTGGTGAGGGGTTAATGAGGGCCTGGTTGCGGGTCGCGGAAGAAAGACGCAGAGGTGTAGAGGGCAGTGGTGAGGGTTAATGAGGGGCCTGGTGCGGGTTAAGACCGATCCTGTAGAAGATACAGGGCCGGTGGTGAGAGGTTAATGAGGGCCTGAGATTGCGGGTTAAGATTGACCACAAAGTATAGAAGCGGTGGTGAGGGTTAATGAGGGCCTGGTGCGGGTTAAGACAACCACTATAGAGGTATAGAGGGCAGTGGTGAGGGTTAATGAGAGGGGGCCTGGTGCGGGTTAAGACAACCGCCAGAATTATAGAGACGGTGGGGAGGGTTATGAGGGCCTGGTGCGGGTTAAGACTTCCGCGCAGTAGAGGGATAGACGGCGAGTGGTGAGGGTTTAATGAAGGGGCCTGGTGCAGGGTTAAAGACCGACCAGACAAATTATAGAACGAGTGGGTGAGAGGACAATGAGGGGGCCTGGTGCGGGTTCACCTGTAGAGTAAAGGGCAGTGGTGAGGGTTATGGGGCCTGGATTACAGGTAAGATTGACCAAAGAGAGGCATGAGGCGGTGGTGAAAGGTTATGAAGGGGCCTGGGTGGAGGTTCAGGGCTATCCACTGTAGAAATTAGAGAAGTGCAGTGGTGAGGGTTGAATGAGGGCTGGATTACGGGTTAAAGATTGACCACAGAAGTATAGGGGCAGTGGTGAAGGTTGAGGGGGGCCTGGTTTGCGGGTTAAAGTCGGTATGCCAAGAGAGTATAGAGGGGCAGTGGTGAGGTTATTGAAGGGGAGGATTACGGGTCCGGGAATTGACCACCGAGGGCAGTGGTGAAGGTTAATGAGGGGCCTGGGTGCGAGGTTAAAGACCACCAATATAAGAAGTATAGGAGGTGGTGAGGGGATGAGGGCCCTGAATGCACGGGTCCGGGCATTGACCACTGTAGTATGAGAACAGTGGTGAGGGTTAATGAAGGGGCCTACAGGGTGCAGGTTCAAGGTTATCCTTATAGAAAGGAGAGGCCTGGGTGGTGAGGGTTGAGGGGCCCTGGTGCGGGTTCCGGAATATCGCCAGCAATGAAGACGGTAGAGGATAAAGGGGGTGAGGGTTAAGAGGGGGCGGTGGGTGCGGGTTAAGACCTACCTACCAGAGAGGGAGAACAGTGGAGTGAGGTTAATGAGGGGCCTGGTGCGGGTTAAGACGAGCCACTATAGAAATTATAGAACGGTGGTAAGGGGTGTTGAGAGGGGGCTAAGTGCAGGTTCAGGAGCCACCGCAAAGTATAGAAAGGCAGTGGTGAGAGGGTTGTGAGGGGCCTGGTGCGGGTTAAGATTGACCACTGTAGAGAGTATAGAGGGCAGTGGTGAGGGGGTTGTGAGGGGGCCTGGTGCGGGTTAAGACTGACCACTGTAGAGAGTATAGAGGGCAGTGGTGAGGGGGTTGTGAGGGGGCCTGGTGCGGGTTAAGACTGACCACTGTAGAGAGTATAGAGGGCAGTGGTGAGGGGGTTGTGAGGGGCCTGGTGCGGGTTAAAGACTGACCACTGTAGAAGTATAGACAGCAGTGGTGAGGGGGTTGTGAGGGGGCCTGGTGCGGGTTAAGATTGACCACTGCAGAAGTATAGAGGGCAGTGGTGAGGGGTTAATGAGGGGGCCTGGTGCGGGTTAAGACTGTCCACTGTAGAGAGTATAGAGGGCAGTGGTGAGGGGGTTGTGAGGGGGCCTGGTGCGGGTTAAGATTGACCACTGTAGAGAGTATAGAGGGCAGTGGTGAGAAGGTTGTGAGGGGCCTGGTGCGGGTTAAGACTATCCCACTGTAGAGTATAGAGGGAACAGTGGTGAGGGGGGTTGTGAGGGGAGCTGGGTGCGGGTTAAGATTGACCACTGAAGAGAGTATAGAGGGCAGTGGTGAAGGTTATGAGGGAACCTGGTGCGGGTTAAGTCTGACCACTGTAGAGTATATAGAGGGCAGTGGTGAGGGGATTGTGAGAGGGGCCTGGTGCGGGTTAAGATTGACCACTGTAGAGAGTATAGAGGGCAGTGGTGAGGGGATTGTGAGAGGGGCCTGGTGCGGGTTAAGACTGACCACTGTAGAGAGTATAGAGGGCAGTGGTGAGGGGGTTGTGAGAGGGGGCCTGGTGCGGGTTAAGACTGACCACTGTAGAGAGTATAGAGGGCAGTGGTGAGGGGGTTGTGAGGGGGGCCTGGTGCGGGTTAAGACTGACCACTGTAGAGAGTATAGAGGGCAGTGGTGAGGGGTTGTGTGAGGGGCCTGGTGCGGGTTAAGACTGACCACTGTAGAGGGTATAGAGGGCAGTGGTGAGGGTTATGAGGAGGGGGCCTGGTGCGGGTTAAGACTGACCACTGTAGAGGATATAGAGGGCAGTGGTGAGGGGGTTGTGAGGGGGCCTGGTGCGGGTTAAGACTGACCACTGTAGAGAGTATACAGGGCAGTGGTGAGGGTGTTGTGAGGGGGCTAGTGCGGGTTAAGACTGACCACTGTAGAGAGTATAGAGGCAGTGGTGAGGGGGTTGTGAGGGGGCATGGTGCGGGTTAAGACTGACCACTGTGGAGAGTATAGAGGGCAGTTGTGAGGGTGTTGTGAGAGGGGCCTGGTGCGGGTTAAGACTGTCCACTGTAGAGAGTATAGAGGGCAGTGGTGAGGGTGTTGTGAGGGGGCATGGTGCGGGTTAAGACTGTCCACTGTAGAGATATAGTGGGCAGTGACCACTGTAGAGAGTATAGAGGGCAGTGGTAAGGGGGGTTGTGAGAGGGGCCTGGTGCGGGTTAAGACTGACCACTGTTGAGAGTATAGAGGGCAGTGGTGGGAGGACTGTGACAGGGGCATGGTGCGGGTTAAGACTGACCACTGTAGAGGATATAGAGGGCAGTGGTGAGGGGGGATTGTGAGGGGGGCATGGTGCGGGTTAAGACTGACCACTGTAGAGAGTATAGAGGGCAGTGGTGAGGGGGATTGTGAGAGGGGGCCTGGTGCGGGTTAGGACTGTCCACTGTAGAGGATATAGTGGGCAGTGACCACTGTAGAGAGTATAGAGGGCAGTGGTAAGGGGATTGTGAGAGGGGCCTGGTGCGGGTTAAGACTGACCACTGTAGAGAGTATAGAGGGCAGTGGTGAGGGGGCTGTGACGGGGGCCTGGTGCGGGTTAAGACTGTCCACTGTAGAGAATATAGTGGGCAGTGACCACTGTAGAGAGTATAGAGGGCAGTGGTAAGGGGGGTTGTGAGAGGGGCCTGGTGCGGGTTAAGATTGACCACTGTAGAGAGTATAGAGGGCAGTGGTGAGAGGACTGTGACAGGGGCCTGGTGCGGGTTAAGACTGACCACTGTAGAGGATATAGTGGGCAGTGACCACTGTAGAGAGTATAGAGGGCAGTGGTGAGGGGGTTGTGAGAGGGGCCTGGTGCGGGTTAAGATTGACCACTGTTGAGAGTATAGAGGGCAGTGGTGGGAGGACTGTGACGGGGGCATGGTGCGGGTTAAGACTGACCACTGTAGAGAGTATAGAGGGCAGTGGTGAGGGTGTTGAGAGGGGGCATGGTGCAGGTTAAGACTGACCACTGTAGAGAGTATAGAGGGCAGTGGTGAGGGGGTTGTGAGGGGGGCATGGTGGAGGTTAAGACTGACCACTGTAGAGAGTATAGAGGGCAGTGGTGAGGGTGTTGTGGTGGGGGCCTGGTGCGGGTTAAGACTGTCCACTGTAGAGAGTATAGAGGGCAGTGGTGAGGGTGTGGAGGAAAACAGGTATGACTGTCAATGGGTCAGTGGTGAGGGTTTGATAGGGTAAAGGTAGTTTTGATTAATCTGTTTATTTGATTATTTTAAATTTATGTTCTTTGTTTGCTTTGTTTGTCGGCCCCGAGATGATGTGTGAGATCCGTCCCTTCACTGTGGGGATCATTGATTCGAATCCTGGATCCACGTTCATCCAAGTTGTTTTAATAGTATCTTATCACTATGTGGTCTCACCAAGGTAGTGCACGACCTACATGACTTAAAGTTAAGCTGGCAAACCCGAAAATGACTGAAATACTCTTCCAGCATTTCTTGTCAACGTAACGTGCGGCCCGACAGCTCGGGTACAGAGCGGACAAACAGGAATAACCGAAAACACTGGAATCAGATTCTGGAATTCAGACACATAAACTGTTTTGGCGCACGTCAGAATGACCCCTATCCAGAAAGAAATAACTGACCGCATCCAGGGATATTACTACTTACTGACCTGCCGAAGGTTCAATAATTGCCCAAAATAGCTTGGTAACTGTCACTTTTACAAGCTACCTTACCACCCCGTAGTGGTACAGATAAGCTGAGTATCTGCGTAATTATAGATAAAATAAGTAAGGTATACTGAGAGGTTCTATTTCAACACATCCTTTCTCATATTACAGATCAAATATAAATAACATACACGTAAACCAACATTTAAACTTTATTATATTTTTACAATTAGTGGAAAATGGCAAAATACCTAGTTAAGTTTGAGTGAGGTGGGTACAATTTATTTGGTTACTCAAAGGAAAAATTAGGATACCCAATTAAGATGAACACAATCGAGAACATAACTCAATGACCCAAAAAGTTATCTGTAGCTCTGTCACCCTCACATTATTCATCTCCAAGATAAGCTAGAAAACTGCTGATGCGGCGTTCAGCAATATTCACTCGCTCTACAAAAGGTGCGCTGCTTATATCAAACACTGGTTTGTCTGTCCAGATTTGATCATTACATGTAGCTTATTTGCTGACTCCGCCGTTAAATAACGTGAATTTTAAACTCAGAGAACTTAAAATGAAATGTAATTTTTCAAATTACAAAATCAATGGCCTATAGAAAAATCAATAGATGAAAGCGTGCATTGTCATATCACAAAAGTTCAGAGTAAAACCTTAAATTATATAAGGCAAGAAAACGAATGATATTTACTTTACATCAATATTTTCATTCCCTGTCAAAAAGAGAAGGGGATCGCAGACAAGGTCAGACAAGTCCAAAACGTGAGTTACATGTAACGGTATCGAGTAAGAGATCTGCATGAAGGATGGTGTTTGCGAGGTAAGTGGATCCTGATTATAAAGCCTACCTCGCCTTTCTCCAGTAATCTATGGCGTCCTGTTATATAATCCCATCGCACAAAGGATATCCACACTAATCAATGACTTCATCCCAACTCGTGTTTCAAAGGCCATTCTTTATGAACATCAAGTCCCGGGTAATCATCCCCTTATCCAGTACAACATACATTCATCGACTGTGGCTTTTCCTATGCGTAAGATACTTCAACGTATTTTGTTATCGCTGATTATGTTCTTCAGCCCACTTGTTTTCATTGTCACGTGCTAAAATTCTCTAGGGCAAATGTCCTACTTTTGATTCTGTATTTAACACCTTCGTTGAATATTGCGTTTGTCCTAATCCATCACATACTTTATCTGATGATCAGTAGCCAATATCTAATGTCCTCTAACCCCAATCCTGTGTGTTCATTTCCCTACCCTACGTCTTACCTCCCATCTACATGCTGTATTTCCTCCGCACATGTAATATGTCCTTTATGCTACGTGCTCTTGTTCTGTGTCCTACGTACAATGTCCTAAATCAGATGTGTTCGTCCCACAATGCCCTACGTTCTATACCGCAGCCCTTCACCCTGTGTTGAATATTCAGACTCTACAGCACATCCCACACCCAATGTCCTCGCCTCTATGTCCTAAGTCCAATGGTGATGGTACATGTATATCACGCAAGCGGTGGTCATTGAAAGAATAGATGAAGATCTGCGCCATCAGAGGAACATTGTAGAGAGCCAACTAATGTACTTAGCCTTATTATCCCCTTCAGATCCGACTACAGCCTCTTGTATAAGACCTGGCCATGTTGTACCTGTACTCCACGGGTGTCATCACACGGCCGTCTTAATGAAGTCTGCATTTCCTGCGCAACTGGAGATATCACGCAACTGTACTAAATACAGAACATGTGTTTAAAAATAGGAACACAACGGCAATCATTCGTGAGAGGATATTGTGCAAGTATATCATCTCCCTGGTTTTCCTCAACAGTCGTGAAAGTACTGAAAGGCCTTAGGCCTTTCATTAATATCCTTTATCTGCAGAACAAAGCACCATTAAAACCTTCAACATTTCAGTAGATATTGGATATTTCCCGTTTTAAGTATACATACCTATCATCTGATGCTTGATAAAGATGTTAGTATTTAACTGCGCTCTCTCATGTGTTGCATCTATTCATATGTAGGTGTACAGGACTTTAGTAACTATCCTTCGACTTGTGTCCATCGTCCCCTGACCTCGCATGTTGCGTTCTGACGATTGTTTTATTCATGAATTTCTTTATTTGCATTTTCTTTAAATGATACATTATCTTTCGTGTCTTCCGTACTCTGTCACGAACATTGCCCAGGAACCAATACGGACCTCCCAAAAACACCACTTCCTGTAAGATGCATTGTTACTTGAGTTATAAACCGGGGCTTTCAGAACCTGCATCTGCATATGAGAGAAGGTTCAGCAGACTCGACATTTCACCAAAGTGCCTCCAAAATTCTATTGCGTGTCTCCTATGCCCGGTCTGTAAAACATGTCAGTTCATCATCACCATCACCACCATCATCACCACCACCATCATCATCATCACTACCACACCATGATCATCATTATTATCATCATCACCTTCATCACCACCACCACCACCATCATCATCCATCACCGGTCTGTAAAGCATGTCAGTTCCTGTGTTGTGCTTACAGCTCCATCATCATCACCATCATTATCGCCATCATCATCGTCATAATTATTCCCCTCATCATCATCCTTATTATTATTTCTGTGCGCCCATGTCATGACTTCTGTAAATTACTATGTACCTACCATCTACAGCTTCTGCAGTATACAGAACACTTCTAGATTCCCACATGCAAAAGGAGTGAGTGAGTGAGTGAGTGAGTTGGGGTTTACGCCTCATTTGGCAATATTCTAACAATATCACGGCGGGGGACACCAGAAATGGGCTTCACACATTGTACCCATGTAGGGAATCGAACCCGGGCCTTCGGTGTGACGAGCGAACGCTTGAACCACTAGGCTACCCCACCGCCCCACATGCAAAAGGAAATCACGGCATAGTTAGATACAGGGGTGGTTAAAGTGGTGACATAGCCGAAACAAATATACTGGATGATCGATGTTGTCCACTGGATAACGATATTTCTAACACAATGTGTATCCGTTGCCTTCGTTATGAAATCAAAATAAGACCAACGTAAAACCTGAACGCAGAGCAATAAAGAGAGATCAAAGAGATAGACACGGACGCCCGTCACCCATTACGGTGCGTATTCCCATGCCATTATGATACACCATCACCATGGATTTCACACTTTTAGGTGAAGTGTTCAACCTACAGAAAGCCAAGTAGGACATGACATGTTATAGTTTCAAAGAGTGGGAATTAATCACAGAGACAGCTACTACACCTTTTCAGCCATTACTGCCAACAACGTTCGTCAGTGTTATTGTGGGTACAGAGGCACACTTAACGATAAACCTGTTTCATGTAACACTTTACACAAAGAACGCATCTGAGAGTTTTCTTGGTAGTGGGTGTCTAGTTTAAAGTGATATTTCGTTTATGGGATCTGACTGCCTGCCTGACTAAGCACGCGGCAAAGCATACAAAACACGCACATAACGATATTGGTGAATGGAACCGGAATGGAATACATAGCAATAATGGACACTCTAATGCCGAGTTTCAGCACGGTCTGCTTATTTTTATTTTTTATTTATTTTTTTCCACCGGTCTGCTTATTATGCAACTGCGTGTATGCTTTAGGCCGACCATTTATTACAGTGGTGGGTGGATCAGAGGTTAATGATGACATGTGTGTTATTATCACCCTTCCCTGCAGGTAATATTTTTGGTTACTTCTTAATTTCCTCTGACAGCTCCCTAAATCAAAGGCTTTGATCATTTTCAATATTCTTCTTGATGTTGATGTTTTTGTCTTGCTAAACTTGGAATTCCCTATTATTGTCCTTCATCATTATATTATCATCCTTTATCATTATATTGTATTTATCATATATTATCTTTTATTGTTGTATTATTATCCTTTATTGTTATATTATTGTCCTTTATCGTTATATTATTATCCTTTATTGTATATTATTGTCCTTTATTGTTATATTATTATCCTTTCTTGGTATGTTATTATCCTTTATCATTATATTATCATTAATTGCTATAGTATTATCATTATCCTTTATCCCGCCGTGATATTGTTGGAATATTGCTAAAAGCGGCGTAAAACTAAAACTCACACACTATTGTTCATTATTGTTATTGTTAAGTTCGAGCTCCGTCCGTCCGAGATGATGGGGACAGATTTTCTCAAAAACCGTTATAGGCAATGAAACCAAATGTGGTATGTGTTTTCAGGACATGAATGCCTTCATAGAGTTCGAAACCGGAAACCGTGTTACAATGTGTTACAGAGTTATGGCCCTTGTCACG